AAATGACGCCATGGTTGAACCAGTGGAACTTTGATTTCGGCACCAGGGCCTTCCTAGAAAAGCTCTTCAAGTCGCAGAAAGGGCGACCGCACCCACAGGCTTGAGAGTATATTCGCCTGCAAGGGGTTCATTAACCTTCTTGAATGAGTTTTTTTGAGAAGCAAATTTATCAGTTTGCCGACCTTTCCTGCTGAGTTCAAGAAAGATGAGCAGTATCGGCTCTACAAGGTTTTCAAGGAGCGTGAGCTCAAGAGTGGCTGTCTTAGATTTTAACAAGTGAATTGAAACCAAATACAAGGTGAACGAAATCAGCCCTAGCAAACTTTCTCGAAAATGTTTCATTCAACTTTGGGCCTCTGAAAACCATGTGCTCAAAGCTTATAATTACTCAATAATTACTCTCCATCTTTCTGTGCGCAGTTGGCTCCAATATTTATACAAACTTGCAATACACGAAACCCGTTTGCATGAGGTGGAACTTCCAACACAGCTACCACAAAGATCAGCGGTGGTGGCCAGTTGAGGAGCTCGTCACCACTGGCTGATGAATCTGTGGATGAAAATTCGTCCCAGGCTCCTTCTGCTGGAGCATCAGCTTCAGGCACCAGGCCCAATCCTGAGGCGGAAGGTGTTGCTAAGTCTCTCAGTTCAATGTTGGATAGCATGTGCCCTCTTGACAAAAAGGGCAAGAATAAGGAAAATGATTCAGATACTGAAGATGAGGATGATGAGGCCCAGGGAAAGAAGCCGAAGAAAAGGAAAGGGAAAGGTCGATCTACCCAGCAACCACGAGAAAGAACGGAAGATCCCCAGGTGCAGCTATATGCATCGCAACCCTTCACACTATCTGCAACATGCCTTCACTATTCACATATCATATTTGTCTCTTCTCTCTCTCTCTCTCTCTCTCTCCCTCCCTCTCTCTCTCTCTCTTCTCTCTCTCTCTCTCTCGCTCCCTCCCTCCCTCCATCCAGGGTCTTCTTGAATGTACTTGTGTCAGAGGCAGAAGCCAAGAAAAAAGAGCTTCAATCTTTGAACAAAATCATCAACGGGCCAGTGCCCAAGTTACATTGGTTGGGTTTTTGCTTGTCCTGGGTCCCAGGCCAAGTCATGCATTTTTTTACATCTTGAGATATGTCCCTTCTGAGGCTGAGAAGCCTTGGGAAGAAAGCTCGCACTGTGGCCAACGACCTTCATGAATTTCCTGGGAACGACGCCGGGGGCTTGTGGAAATTGCCAGCCCAAAACCGCCCAAGAGATTGTCTTATTGATTTATGGAAATTAGTCCAAATGAGGACATGAAGAACCGGATTGGTGAGCAAGCAAAATGGCTGAGCTCTGTTGCTGTGAGGCTGGGGCTACTATAACCTTTTAGTTTCCACAACACCCTGTCCAAAAAATAAATCTGGAACTTGTCAGGCTTGAGGATGAACATGCAAATGGACAATCCGTTGCCGATGTCATGGCGATCTACAAGCGTCAGAGAAAACGAATCGAGGCACAATTTTTTCCCAGTGTCAGCTAGAGATGTTCAATGTGCAGGTCCAACAAGATTAATCTAGTCTAGATCTGGATACCACAGGGAATCCTGCCATCTTCGCAGCCTGGCTGCCAGGGTGCTGAAGATGACATTGAGTCGGGCAAGGCGACTGTGAACACTTTGAAGCGTCGTTGGGTCCTCAGTTCACAAATGAGTTGAACAAAATTCGTGAAACTGCACCATGGCCCAGGCCGAAAGCAGAAGGAGGAAAAAGAAAAGAAGGCCAAGGAGGCCAAGAAAGCCCAGGAAGAGCCAGAAGAGGAAGAGAAGGAAGTGGATGGAAATGAGGAAGCACCCATGGAGGCACTGTGCCAGTGCCAATGCCTTTACACATCTTGCGCGCCCATCTCCATCCTCATATATATGTTTATCTTGAAGATTCGGTACCTCAAAATCCAATATGGTTTCTTCTCAGCATTTTTCCCAATGAAAGAAATTTGCAGTGTAGCATGAATCAGAAACCTCTTAACCAAATATATATATATCATTTGATAAATTGAGGGGCTATCCGAAGATCGTATGGGAAGCATCTTCAAAAGCCAATGGTCATATATTCAATTGATTTGGTATCCAAAACTAATATGGTATCGGATGGGAAGACACCACCAAAAAATCTGGCACACCACCACCAAAAAATCATATGATCAACTCCCCGCCAGGATGATGAGCCAGGGGAGGAGGACCACTGGTGGAATGAGTGGGATGGCTTCACTTACGATGAGTGAGACATCGAATGGTGGTGCTGCTGTGAATGGCTGGATCGAAGCTGTCCAGTTGGGTTTAGTGATGGGTTTTACAAACCAATCATGTCTTGGGCGTTTGCTCATACTCCACTTTTTTGGTGGCCTGTGTGAGCCTTGGGGACCAACTTTACGTTGACAAATCCTAGGGTGTTGACTGTGGGAAGGCCGATGAAAGAGGCTTAGACCCTGCGTGATCGTCAGCGCTGCTGGAAAAATGGTTGAACCAATCTTTTTGCGATGAGTTCAGAAGGTTTTCACTCGCGGTGACAAAATCCGTATGGAAGTTTAGACTTGATATGTGTATATATATATATATGCGTGTGTAAATATATTATACATATTTGTGTTTTTATTTATCTATTATATATATATATAGATGTATGTATGTATGAAAGCGTACAAGAGCTCAACCCCGGATTCATCAACATTTTGGCTATTTACAGTAATTGGGCCACTTTAGAAACAGACTATATATCATTTTTGGGATAGTTTCCCCAAATGTATACCCACGAGAGCCATTACAAGAAAAACTGTCACATCCACCCAGAACCCACCCCCTATGTTCTCACCAAGATGTCCAAGCGAGCTACTTGCCCGAAAGCCAACACAGTTCCTTCTGCTTGCAGGCTGCCAAGCGATCCTCGGGCGGAGCTGCAAAGCTCGTTACCAATTTTTTGGAGATGGTAATGAAGGGCGAGGCGAGGACCACTGCATTGGAACATGTTTCAACTTTCAACCCGCTTTAGCTTGAAAAAAATCAGCAATAGGGAATTTTCTCATCCAGGCATCAATGAAGCGGCTGGAGAAAAATTTGGCTGCTCTTTCTGACTTGCCGCATTACCTCATACCGTCATTGGCTTACATGTTCATAAACCGATGTTGCAGATCACTTTCCTTTCAATATATGTCATGGTTGAATCAAAAAACACTGCAAAAAAAGTGTTTTGTCTCCTCCTGAGGCCTTCAATTCTTCAGCTGGCTGATATGTTTGAAAACGCCAGTGGGTGGGGGCTAGAAAGGACGTTTGCCAAGTGGATTGACCAGCAACCCTGGCGGCATTGCCTGCCTCCAGTTTTTCAGCTCCTCGACTACATATATGTTTGACAACTATCTATATATATATATATACATAGATATATAGATATATATAGATTTAGATTTAGATATAGATCGATACACATACATCTATATATATATGTTTGTGTAGATTTGCAATATTTGAATGCTGGTGCCAAAACACATCCTACTCTGGAAAAGACCGATGCTGCTATCTAATGCGGAGCCGGTGCAAATAAGGTTGCAGCTTAGCTTCCCAGAGAAGCTCAGCTCAATTTTTCCTTGTTTGCACATGTGCAGTTCTGAAGCTGAACCTAAATATGCAAGTGCTCCTAAAGTTTACGATCCGAGGCGCAAAAAACGAATACCGCGAGTTTGAAATTCGTAACATCTGGGCTGCTCTTGCCGCACGAGATCTTTGGTAGCCTCTACAACTACCAGAACGGTCAGCTGTTTTTCAGCCTGTTGGCAGGGCTCCCTGGGGTATCACGGCAGCATTCTGTGATTTTGGTTGTTTAAGAAATGTTGGTGGAAAACGTCCTTACCCCCATCTGCATGTGGGTTCTTAGGTGCAAAAAGAGTATTGGTCTCACAACACTAAACTGGAAGATGACCTGCGAGCGTACTGGAGGCAACAGGTGCGCCTTTGCAGGTTCTCATGCCATTTCAGAATTCACGTTTTTTTATGTTGTTGAAATTGCAGGAGGTGGAAGAACCCACCAGCATGAGCTACGTCCTCCCTGTAAGATTGTATGGTGATGGAGCTGATGCTTTCAGCCCAAAACTCAATAAGTCACCTTTCAAACATTAAAGTGAGTCTAAAACATCCTTATGCACACCTAAGGCCACCAGTCCTTTGAGCTCCTTTCACTACTTCCAGTTCTGAGTCCATTTTCATCATCACTCGACAACCGTATTGTGTTTGGAGCCAAGGTTCAAACATCTTCTTGATAAAATGCATGCCTGTCCAGCTTTTGCCCCGATACCTTTGAGGCTAGCCGTGCGAAACGTGAGCCGATCCCATGAGGCCAGTGTGGAACATTGTCGTCCATGTGTCAACATACCATTTACCAGAGCCCCTTGTTGTCGCCAGGATCCCAAAACGGCAAAACAATCCCGGACCAAGATCATGGAGCTCATCCTTTGGTCTATGAAAGCCCTTTGCATCATGGACAATTTTATCCCGATTGCTGGATTATCTTTTCAATACATGGATGTGTATTTCATGGGGTTCATTGATAACAGCACTGCAGCCTAGGCAAGGGAATTTGGCCCGAGACAGATGCTTGGGGGGAACCCTTTGGGGCCTGTTGCCCTCAACATTGGAAGGAAAAAGCAGGTAAACCAATCTGCGGCCCGTTTCGGGCTGTTGTGGACGGCTTTCATGGCGACCAGGAATTTCTCCATAAACTGTTCGAATTCAAAAGATCTTTGGTTGCACACATGTATTTTTTTAAATTATATTTATATATATATATGTGCGTCTGTTTTGCATGAGTGTCATATTTGCCAAGTTGCGTCCGTCTTCGGCCACAGGAAGTTGGCACAGCAAGCGCAGAAAGTGCTGCCCGTTTTGCGAGGCATGGTGCAACATTGCGTCATTTCGACAGTAAAGTGAAGAACCATTGGACACTGTATCAATCAAAGCTGTAGGTTTGCCAATGCCAGTTCTGCTCCAGGCTGTGACCTTTGTGGAGCCTGATGAGGATGAGACTTTGGTATATACTGCCGTGGGTATTCATGCGCAACATCGACAAACGTATCTGGGAGTGAATCACATTTCTCTTGTGATGTATAGAAATGAGAGTTTGCCTGTCTTGATGGGTGGGGAATACTTAGGAATGATTATTTGCATGATTGCTCGAGGCTAGTGCGAGATGCATCTGACTGGATTGAGATTCATGGGGAAACTCCATGGACTAAACTCCCAGCTTTTGATCCTTGGCGTATCTATCCCGATGTGTTACACGTGCTGGACTTGGCCATAGCTCCTGACAGCATTGGGTCGTTCCTCTTGTTTGCCACTGACAACGGAAACAGAGATCAGGGCCTTGACACGATACGCATGCAATATTTCCAGTGGGCTTCCGAGATAAAGCTCGGCTGTGAGTATCTGGCCAACCCGAAACTGTTCACTTCAAAAGTGTTGCAGTCTTCTTCAACA